GATTGGGCCATGGGTCCGTTTTCGACGGGAAGAAGTGAGAACACACATTGTCCAAGAAATTGCCCGGTGAAATCGATTCCCTTCTTGAACCAAGGGGGAAAAACAAAAAACTAATCGGTCTTAAACAAGAAATCCGAGTCCCATTGTTTCCTGGCCGCCACCAGAGGGTTCAACCAATGAAGTTGGGTGAAAATGGGGGTACCCACCAAAAAAGGGATATCTATTTTGGGTTTGCCTGTAAACCAACCAACACGCACACATATCAGCCAAAAAACACACACACACAAACACAAACACGAGCACGAGCACGAGCACGAGCAGGAGCACGAGCACAATCACACACACACACACAACCAGAAACACAATCACAAAACACAAACACAAACACACGCACAAGCACAAGCACAAGCACAAACACAAACACAAAACACACACACACACACATCCCCTTGCCGCCTTGCCTTCCGCGTCCGCCAGCCGCAGGTGCCGCAGAGTCGCCTCTTCTGGCCGCAGCCAGGGCCGTTTCTTCCCGCCTGACAGAATGTAGGGGGTACGATCCCTTTCCCAAATATGGCACTTGTCGGAGGGCACTTGGAAGATCACTTGAGGGACCCCCCTGTCAGATGCCATGTTGATTAGTGGGAGGGAGTGTTGCGACAAGGAAACCTAAAAAATGACCGGACTGGCCGGACACAGTGCTTTTAGCTATAGATGCGATGTTGAAATGGAAAATCCTTAACTGCACGGTCAAGAGCACACGCCCAAGAGGTTGCTAGGTGGCCCACCAATTGCAAATTGATGACTGGCTCAGGAGTTGATCAGGGTGAAGCATATACTTGGTTGCTGTTGACCCCCCTGCAAAAAGTTACCCTTTTTTTTTTGGGGGGGGGGTTTAGTGGAAAACACCTTTATTTCCCAAAAAGTCAAAGTCTAAAGTTCCAACCCAATAGCAGTCCTTGGCAAAATAGCAGGCTTGGGTGCCTTGGGGAAGCTGGCCAGCCGCTTGCTGGCTCGGGTTTCCTCAGCTTGGCGACCGGCTTTCTCTGGCAGTGCTACGAGGGCACCTGCGGACCAAGCGGTTCGGTTGATTTCCGCGGAGGTCGCCTTTGAGCCCACCCGTATCCTCAGAGCACTCTTTTCAATCAAGAGGGGAACAGCACAAGGGAAAGGGTAAGCTGGGTATCCCACTAGAAAGGAAAGGAACCAACAAAGGGACACAACACGATGGACATTGGACTGGATCGTCGAGTGCCATGCTTGAATATGACAACACATGACCACTCTGCCCCCCAAAACACCAGAGTGGTGGAGGGATTGATGGGTTGAGGGGTGAGGGAGTTCTCTTTTTGGAACCTCCCAAAGGTGGCGGGTTTTCCCACAGAAACGCCACCGGGAAAAATGTGCATCTGTCTGAGGGGAAAATGCAGCGATCCCTCTCAGGGGTCTCTAGATTTTGCTTTGATGGGCTGAGCGGTGCATACCATTTTCGGCCCCGTGCTCAGGGAAAGACCCAAGGAACTTAGGATTCCCTTAAGGGACACCAGAGAGGATGGTTTATAGGGGTCATTCCCTCATCCCTGCTGAGAACCAGCACGAAAAGCGACACCCAAATAGACTTTTGAAAGAGGATGACAAGACAAACAAAAAAAACAACAAAAATGGGCATCTTGTTGGTGTAAGAGACCCTAAAATCACATGCTGGATGGCAATTCACTTGCTCACTGCCCCAGTACGTGCGGACTTTATTTGTTGGGTCAAGACGATAACAAGCCTGGACAAAATTAGTGACTAATCCACTCATGAGAGTGGGCGTCTTTTTTTTTTTAGGGTTTTCCCTTGGGAACCCCAAACGACCCAATCGCGCCGTGTTTCGGCTTGCAACCCCCGCTTTGGCGCCCGCCTCGGCAGCGGAGCACCTCCGAGAGCTGCGCGAGCGCGCGGTCCTCGTGGAGGCCGCGGCACCGGGAGGCGTCCAAAGACTGGAGGCCCGGCCTGGTGGGGCGTTTGGGGGGGGGGGGGGGGTGGGTTTGGTTGGGCTTGGGGGGCTTGGGGTTTGGCGGGGTTGGGGCGGGGGGGGAACTGGGGGGGAGGTTTGGGGAGGTTGGGGGGGGGGGAAGGATGTCCAACTAAAAAACATCAGCCGCAAAGGAAATCACCGCGAAAACGTGCCTGTGTTTTTATGACTTGGACCCCCCAAACTGGATGTCGGCTTTCCTTTTGGTCTCCCTAAGCCACCCAAAAAAAAAGACAACGCGCACCACCCACCACCTCAAAACAAGGCCCACACTCCCCAACTCCCCCCCACCATCCCGGCAGCCCAACCCCCACCCCCCCTGCCCCCCGGCCCCGGCTGGGAGCACCTCTTCGCCACAGCGCCCAGCAGCACTTGCAAGGGGCAGCCGCTCCGCAGCTTGAGGCGCCGGCAGTCCAACAGCGCCGAAACGCGCCAGCGCCTCGCGAGGGCATAGGGCAGTGGGGGGACCATATGGCTGTGGGTCAAAACCAAAAAGCTGGAAGCAGCGGGTTTTCGCCTGGACTTCGGGGAGGATGAGACGGGCAACATCATGCCACCCGGCCAATCCAGCTGTCCAGTGGTGCCATATGGCTGTGGTTGTCAAAACCGTTTTGGGACCCCATTTTACCATGGCCATATGGTTTTGTGGGTTAGCATGTCCGTTTTGTTGGGACCGTGACTTTTTGGTTGCCAGAAATTGGAAAAGCCATGAACGGGCCCATTTCTAGGTTGCTGGACACCAGAAAACATTTCTGGCTGGTTGGTTGGCGATTATTTTGGGATGACGTCATTTCGCACTCCTTGGTGAATCTGAATGGTAGAACAGCATTTGGATCCCCATCGGCTTTTGGCTGAGCCCCCCGAAACAAAACGAGACTTAGAGGATGCCACATGATAGCTGGGTCAGTGCTTCAACAAACTCTTTGTTGATCAAAACGGAGCATACTCAAGCAACAGTTGAAGCAAAGAACGGGCAGACAGCCTGTGATGCGTGGCATGATGCACAATCGGTCTCTGTGGGCAAACTGGCACCTTTGTGCTGGCAGCCGATTTCCAAGCACGCGCTTCCGGTCCCCTCAAAGGATCCAATGATTTGGAACCCTGTTGCCAGTCGGTGTGGCCTGAGCCAAAAAAAGCGTGTGAATCCTAGTTGGCTATAAGGCTTTGGTGAACGTGAAACGGCCGAGTGGCCCTTACTGCAAGCCACAGAATTGGCAAAAATCTGTCCTCAGGCTTTGGTAGCTGTCCCAGTCCGGCCCGGAGCCAGGAGCTTCGGACTGCGGCTCACACTTCCCGTTGCTCACAACTGTCACACAGCACCGCTTGGATGAATTCGTCGGATGTCACTCAAAAACTAACAGCCCAAACCTGTCGAGTGAGGGAGCAAAATGGCAGTCTTTGCGTTTGGCTTCCCTTTTAAAACAAGGTCCGACAAAGAACACCTTTTCAAAAAGACATACACACGCACCTCTGCCATGGCACTGGTTCAGGGTCGCGCAGAGCGTGGGGTCTGCATGTCTGGCCACCAGTGACATCCATCGCTCCGCCTGCGGCAAGGCACGGTTCTGGAGGGTACCCCCATCTTTGGGGGGGGGGGTTCTTCAAAGGGAAACCGAATGAACGTTACTCAATGTTGAGTCCATCATCTTGAGACTGACACAGTTCTGAAGTTCTAATGGGCTGAGGCGGCAAGGTGGTTAAACATATTGAAAAAGAAAGCAACATTGAGATAGGAGATTGCCTTGGTGTCACTGCAGTGGGATAGGGCGCCTACCAAATGTATGCGTTATATGGGTGTTTCTCCAAATCCTTGTCCCCTTAAATACCAACCAACACGGCGTCCATCATTTTGAGAAACTCCTAAATGCCCCCTATGGTTGAATCCGCAAATACTGCACTGCCACTGTAGGAAAGAGAGCGCATCAGCGGCACCTCTTGCGTTTGAGCCCGAAGGCACTTGAAGCTTTCTTTGCCATTCCATGGCGACAGTGTCTTGATGGCGTCATTTGCTCTGGAAGAAAAAGTGGGTTTGCCGATTCGCCTTTTGGGGGTTGATGAATTCTGGATCTGGGGAAACAAGGGGAGGTTCTCGAGCACCGAACCATCGCGGGCTTCGCCTCGGCCATTGCAGCAGCTGAAGCCGACTCAGCGCCAGAACCGGCGGCCGAAGCCGGACGAGACGTCTTTGCATCTAGAGTGGGCACACGAGGAAACCGGGATCCGAAAACACTTTTCTGGAGCTGTCATGAATGCTGGCATGTATTGAACAGCAGGCTGAGAAACTTCTGACTCGAATGCATGTCAAAATTCCTTATGAAAGATTCCCAAAAGGAAACTATGAAACTTGGCCCACAAGATGATGTTCAAGGCGCCTCAAATTTGTTTCCAGGCCAATTTTCTGCTCGCAAACAGCAGAATTGGCTGGTCGATTGATCGGCCCTCGGATGCTCGCGCTTGCGTACTTTGACGCTGGCAGCACCTATGAGCCACGTGCATTCAAACACCAAAATGCAACCTGCCGTCGCAAGCACCAACGGTCATTCACCCCCTTTGACCTGTGCTTTGCATCTGTTGCATGCTGATGTTGTTCTTCAGTACCCTTTTCCTGATCTCTCAACAATGAGGCAAACATGCTAGAGTCCGCGCCTCGAAAGACAATTGAGAACCTGCCTGCAGACTAAGAGTTATAGCTAAATGGACTATCCAGTTTAAGTCGGTCATAACTTCATGCAGACTATCGACTATCTCATCGAGAAAGACCACCAACGCCTGGCTTGCGGAACAAGCTGATGACCTTGCATAATCATCTTGCGTGGAGGAAACCTTCAACCCCACGCCTCCCCCAACCATTGGGGTCCCCCACTAAAACAAACAAGCATGCTCATGAACCATGAACCCAAACAGGGCCTCCGTCCCTTGAACTCCAAGGAAAGAGCCGAGCCTCACGGGACACAAACAAGGGCCAGAACTTCATTCCCAGCCAGGCCTGGCGCCGGCTCTTCCTCCTAACGCAAGGAAAGGGTGCGAGCCAAGCTTCCATTTGCTTAAGGCCCCCTGAAAAAATACAAATAACATATGTCCAGTAGTGACAGATTCCCTTTAAAACCAACAGGTGAAAACAAACATATTCTTAGGCAAATGGAAGCAAGGAGGGTCACAGGGGTGGCCTTGTTAACATGGGGAATTGGTTGATCCAAGAAGGATTCTACACCAGCAGGTCTCAATTCCCAAAGTCAGGCAACCTCCCAAAGTCTGGCACACCCCAGGCTCCAATTTGCGAAAGCGTGCGACGAGTGCGGTTGCTTTAGCAGCCCTGAGACCTTGGCAGGTCAAAAAGCCCATCAGCGATGACCGTGACATCGACCATCGGGTTGCTTCAAGCACGCACTGAGTGCCAGCTACCATGGCGTAACTACAGTCCTGTCATCTCGGCTGTGGCGTGATTGTGTTTTCTTTTTCCCCCGTGGTTACCTACCACTAAGACTAAGTACCCAGGTACCTACGAGCATAGGACATCAAGGTCCATGCTAACATCCGCAAACCAATGTCTTGCATCCGACACAGATCTACGCGCACCATTCATTCCAGGACCCCACCGCTTCAAGTGATCCATACAGGACGCCGCCGCTCGCCACAAGTTGCTCGCTGCAAGTGTCTGCTCTTCCGACTGCTCCTGTTCCTACTCCCCGGGCCTAAATCAGCAGAATGCGGTTGTGGCATAACTTTCAGGCCATATTTTGTCATCAAAGGAGACCAGTTTCAGTTATCTATATTTATATAGCCCTTTTTCTTGGCAGTTGTCTAGCCCATTCTTTCTTCTAACCACTCGCTGTTTTATCCATATTTATCTAGCCCATTTTTCTATCCACTCGCTGTTCCGGCTCCCGGACTCAACCCCATCCTCCTCCTCTTCCTCTTCCGAGGACTCGCCATTGGCGGTCGGCCTGACGAAGCTCGCTCGCGGAGCGTGGCTGTTGAAATCCGTGCGCACCGGTCAATAACCCTAGAATGATTCGACTCGACTGTAAATCCCAAAGTATGGCTTCAACCATGGCTTCAAAGCGGTGCGAGATGGATTTCGTCCATCCGCAGTATTGGTGGGTCAGAATGGAGGGAGTTCCTGTGCCTTTCCTGTTGAAAGGGGGCTTCGTTGCCCCAAAAAGACCCACCCACATATCTGCGCGCAGATTTCAAGGGGTTCTTGTAAGTTGTCAGGAAAGGAAGTAGATTCCCACCGCGTGCAGCCCATGGCTGAACACCCACTTTGACTCTGTGTCAACTTTGTCTCATTGGAAGAGCTGCATGATGCTGGTTGGAGAGAAAAGGATGGAACGCCAAGAAGGCAAGACATCAACACGGGCAGGCTAAGTCTGGCAACGAGAACGTGGAACAACAGGCAGTAGTTTGCTGCAGCTTAACTCGCCGCTTGGGCCAATGAACTAAGTGCCACCCTGCCTTGGGGGCCATCGCTCGTCCGTCTGCGCAGCCGCCTGCCGAGATTTGTGCCCTGCCGCGCTGCCTCTGGGAACCTCGAACAACTGGGCGAGTCACGCTCCCCTGGAAGCATCTCCCAACATTCAATCTTTTGGCCCCCCATCCAATTTTGGCCCCAGGGCCAGTTCTCAGCGGCTTGGTCCTGGACCCGGGAATTCAAGAAACATCTTGAGCCTTTTTCACCTGAACCCCGCCGTTCAAGCGCCCCAAGCCCCCCGACCCCCCGTCAGCTCCATCAGACACCCCCCCCGTCGGCCCCCTGCACCTGTTGCTTGTACGTCCAGTCGGGAGGTGGCCTTAGAGCAACGAGCCGAAGGTGGCCCAAAGTTCTGAGATAAAAGTTTCCCTTGGGCTTGGGAAAGCCAAGGTGATGTTAGACCTTCTTTAACACACTAGTATTAGATCGCATTAAAGAGGGTCTAACATGGGCACCTTATAAACCTGGCTCAAGGATTTCTTCGCAACCGGACATTACAGAAGGAGGCGGGGCAGGGATCAGCACAAAGGCCGAACAAGTATGCGTCAAGATAGGGGAACCGCAAAATGGTGAATTTGGTTTTCCTTTAAACTACCCCGAGAAGGGTCCCCTCCAAAAACACACCCCGTATTGGGCAGTGCTTTGAACTTGTGCAAACCGATGCGGAACAGCACCGTTCCTGCGCTCTCAAAGCACTACTTTCAGCGCAGCTCCCTCAATGGGCTTCGTCCGGTGCCCAAAATTGGGAGCCTCCTATTGGGTGGCATTGAAAATGAGACCAAAAGGAACTGCGGTTGGTTTCCTTTTGTTCTTTTGGTCTCCCTGTAAAATGCCAACCAAACAGGTCTCCATTTTGAGAAACAACAAGCCCAAATGGGTGCGTCTTTTTTGAGGGTGCCCCGTTTTGTTGGTTGCGTTAAAGGGAAACCACAAGGAAAACGATAGCAGTCGGGGCCCTTCGAACTTGTATCCCCGGTCTGCCAGTCGAGCCCGGTTTGCCGGTCTGGGCGCACAGCGGAGGTGTCCGCAACTGGCGGCGAAACCGCGGCCGAATGGAGACATGCGATGTCTCTTGCGTGGGTACCCTGGCTGTTGAAGAGGAACTAAGGGGAACTAGAGAACCACCCGTGTCTTGCTGCAACTTGGGTCTGGGTTCTGTTTGAGACAATCCGTTGGTAACATACGAAGGAGGATTCTTTCGGCTTCTTCGAGTAAGAGAAGGCTGACGTGTGGAACATGTTGCTGCATGATCAGCTTGCTGCCTCTGCACAACCTGCCAGCTCCTCTAAGTTGCTCTTTGCACGTGCCCATGTTTGCCGTTTTGCTGCTTTTGAGCGTCGCCCTTCTTTGTGGCTTAAAGGAAAGCCGCATGTTGTGTGTTTTTTTTCTTTCTCTTTTTCTGGGGGGTGCCCGCCCGTTCGCGCCCGTTGGGGGGGGGGGTGTCCTAAACAGGGACACGCCCAACTGGGAAGGCTTGTTGCACCAAAAACACCAGCCGCACGCATGAAGGCCAAGTGGATCTGATCTCTCCCGCCTCCCACTTCAGCTTCCCCCCTCCCTGCCTCCCCATTGGCCTCAGCCTCCCTTTGCAACCACCAACAAAAAGGTACCCTCAAACACGACACACCCCAAAACAAAGTAGACCGTCCTTTTTCCGGCCTCATGATTTTACCATCAAAGTCACCCCCTAAGTGATGGGTGAAAGGGAAACAACCAACCATTTTGTGACTCTGATAACCCCTAGGAATGGTCAAAATCATGACCCCAGTTTTTGAGAGGTGAACCATGGGAAGTCTCCGGCGCCTTCTCCGCAGCCTTTGCAACTCCCTGCAGCGACTCCCGGATGCTTTCTTGCGCCTCCGACTCGAGCCGGAGGATCCGCCCGCTTCGACCGGCGGTGTGTCGTAAAACATAAGAATCCCAAAAATATTTGACTCCCGCTGTGGTGCCGTGGCTGCCGCGGTGGTTTGTTTTCGTGCTCATTATGCAACACATATAGGAAACCATCCGAGACCTGCAGTCAGGGAGCTTATCATGAGCGGGTGTTGACCTCAAATTGAGCCCACATGGCACAATGCTTCGTGGTGCATTGCATTGGCTTGAATCTCATCGCATGAGGACAAAGGGCAAACAAACCATGTGGAGTCTCCAGTCACAGTTGCCTCATCGCAACTGGACTGATCCAACAGCGGTTTCATCATCCCCTTCTTACCGACACAAAGGAATGTTTTGGTGAACTTCCCCCAGTTGCCGGCGACAAACACATGGCACATACATAGTTGGAAGCCTTCTTTGGCTTTTGACCATTTTTTGTGGGTCGGGGTTGACCATCGAGACAAGTGGGTCCCGAACAACAACAGGGGATTCCTGAACCCACCGGGCAACAGAATGGGTTTCTCTTTACCCAGTGGCCCCACCGGCGCGGCGCGGCAACCCAACCGCCCCTGCCCACCCAACCGCCATACGCCTGGCGCGTGAGGTTTGCTGGCCGGTTCGGCGTGGGCAAGCTCAACATCAGATCCACCGGGGGCCTCGCTCCCGCGGGATCGCGCGGGCCATATTTCCAGCCCCCCGTAAAGGGCTTATTTGGGAAGAAAGCGGTTAGATTCTATGTGGCAACAAAAGCCGGATGTTGTTGCGTACGGGGATGTACAGTGATGTTCGCAAATCATGTTGGATTCATTTCTACACTTGGTTACACGCTTGGAACATCCGACAGGGCTCCATTCTGCATACTTGCCCCAAGGTTTTCCTTTTGGGGGAAATGAACCACCCCTACGGTTGAACAGTATGTTTAAGTCCACCTTTCGGTACTCCAACAGTGGAACCCCGACATTCTGATGCTTCAGATATCCAACTGCGAGACCGAGGCTTAGCCTCGAGGTCCACTCGGAGCTGGGCTGTGAGGAAGTTCTGTCACAAACTCTGTGGATCATGGTGTGCACGTCAAGCTTGCCAGTCCAAGTACCCATTGAGGATGCAAGGGGCTCAAGGTAAACTCCAGATGCATCCCAAAGGGGGTCCCCGGTTTCCAAGGTCGTACCTCTGCAACTCAGAACAAGGCTATTCATGAGTACACGAGTCTTGGATTCAGGATCAGATCTCCAGCGACTTTGCCACAGCTTTTTGCCACTTGCGATCGTCCACCGGGGCTCCAGCATAAACAGCATGTCGTAGATGCTGTTGTCGCCCTGGGAGCTCTATGATGCTGTTCCACAAAGCACCCAAAGTCTGACATCTCCGGGACAATCAAACGGGTGTGTCTTTTTTTAGGGCACCCCTCAAAATGGTGGTTTCCCTTTAAAGGGCAAAAAAGGATACCCCTCCCCAAAAACACAACACATCCAAACATCGAACCAGAAAGAAAAGGGACCATGCGCGAGCGGGGCATTGTACTTGGCAAGTGATTAGTAAGCCTGCTCACAATCCACTTAGCATGCTTATAAGTCTCCTAAGTGGGTTCTAACCAGGCTTACTAACCACTTAGTAAGTACCCGATCGCCCCGTACATTGTGGGCATGTAATCCAAGGTTGAGCAAGCAAACGAGTATGTCTCCAAAACGGAGCTTCGGAAAGCCAGAAACCAGCCATTTGGGAGGATGCGACTTATGTGGCAGTGTCCCCCCCGGATTTTGCATTTTGCGCCCCTGTTCTCTTTAGACGTGGGCTTGGCTTCAAAATAGCAGAACCCCCCAACAAGTGCGTGGTCTGTCCCGAAAACCCAGGTGAAAAGGTACCAGCCCTAAACCAACACACCCCAACCAACCACACACAGTGGGTGTTTGATGGAGCCCTTTTTTGGGTTGTGAAAGGGGGGCATCCCACAACCATTTTGACACAAACCCAAATCAATGTTTCATTTTTTAATGTTTTGGGTTCCATTTCGGGATCGGTTCCCGGTGTTTCCATTCGAAACGGGGCCGGCCTTCAGCGCTTCCTCCAAATTCTCCTCCAACCCATCCGAAACCTCGGCACGTTTCGATCGCTCGATCGGTGGAACGAACCTGCCTACAGACATAAAGTTTTTGTTGATTTGCAGTTGTCGGGGTCCCCCTCTTTGCCAGAAAGAAAGAAAGAAAGAAAGAAAGAAAGAAAGAAAGAAAGAAAGAGAGAGATAAAGAGGGAAACAGAGAAAGAGAGACAGAACAAACAAACTAAACACAGTGGGCCAAGAAACAAGAAAAAATAGGGGGTTTGCGGCCCTCTTCAGGAAAGTACAAATTCCGCAACTAAAGCTCTAGGGGTATCTTCCCCATTCTTTCCAGGGATCCTTCTTTCTAGAAAACCTCCGGAATCCCAGGGAAAACGGCGATCGGTTTTTGAAAAGAACGATGGTTGAAAACAACGGAAAAGGAATCAACCCTTAGAGTCGTTTGGTTTATGCTCAAAAAGGAAACCAAAAGGAACACCATAAGAACCAAAAAAAAAAACGGGGGAAACAAAAAAACATATTGTTGGAATCAACCCCCAGAAAAAAAGAAGAAAAAAAAAACAAAAACTCCGTTGGACCCTTGGAGCCCCCGACTTCCAGTCCGAAGCTTCGGTCCGGGAGTCCGGGCATCGATGAGGTCCCGCAGCTGGCGTTGGGCTGCGGCCTGAGGTGACGTGAGGCGTGGGCAACGGGCGCCCCCGTGCCATGGACACCTAGAGTCCATTTTGTAAGAGTGTGCAAAATAGAAGAGGGTCCAAAAGAAGGAGGGTGCAAAATAGACCCCAAGTGTCCACCATGCGAGCCCCGCCCCCAAAAATGGTGGTTGTCCTGTTGATGTCCCACCAACGAAAAGGGGGATACACTCAACAACACGCCACGCACAAATGTTGACAAAATCCTAGAGTTGATAGGTGGCTTACTTCACTCATGGGGGTTCCTCCATTCCTCAAAGTACGACCAGCGGAACAGACTTCCAGGGTTTGGTATCTTCTGAGATACCAAATGACCCCCGTCCTCAAAAAACACTCGGACCCTCAACATGGGGATGCTGAGTGTGCTGGGGTTGTGTGACATCTTGTGCTCTGTTGAGGGCTGCAAGGTCTTGGCACATTCTAAGGATGTACCCGAGGGTCAACAGTGGTATAAGTACATAGGTATTTGGACCCAAATCCATGTACGCATATGAAACCAATGCGGATATTCGCACCTATTTCTGGCTGGGACGGCCCCTAACCTTCACCTACCCGTGCTTTGATTGCGGTTCAATTGGGTTCCCTCAGACACACAGCGCCAACTGATCTTTCTTCTTGCGGTCGCCTCGGCCGCGCCGGCGAAGTTCAGCACGAAGTCTCTCATGTCGGGGACAAACCTCCGGATATCTGGATGACTTCGGATTAGGTGGGTTGGCAGGTTGGCAGGGGCAGGCTGGCAGGTTGGCAGGTTGGCAGGGCGGCAGGGCGGTAGGTTGGTAGGTTGGTAGGTTGGCAGGTTGGCAGGGGCAGGCTGGCAGGTTGGCAGGTTGGCAGGGCGGCAGGGCGGTAGGTTGGTAGGTTGGTAGGTTGGCAGGTTGGCAGGGGCAGGCTGGCAGGTTGGCAGGTTGGCAGGGCGGCAGGGCGGTAGGTTGGTAGGTTGGTAGGTTGGCAGGTTGGCAGGGGCAGGCTGGCAGGTTGGCAGGTTGGCAGGGCGGCAGGGCGGTAGGTTGGTAGGTTGGTAGGTTGGCAGGTTGGCAGGGGCAGGCTGGCAGGTTGGCAGGTTGGCAGGGCGGCAGGGCGGTAGGTTGGTAGGTTGGTAGGTTGGCAGGTTGGCAGGGGCAGGCTGGCAGGTTGGCAGGTTGGCAGGGCGGCAGGGCGGTAGGTTGGTAGGTTGGCAGGTTGGCAGGTTGGCAGGTTGGCAGGCTGGCAGGTTGGCAGGTTGGCAGGGCGGCAGGGCGGTAGGTTGGTAGGTTGGTAGGTTGGCAGGTTGGCAGGGGCAGGCTGGCAGGTTGGCAGGGCGGCAGGGCGGCAGGGCGGTAGGTTGGTAGGTTGGTAGGTTGGCAGGTTGGCAGGGGCAGGCTGGCAGGTTGGCAGGTTGGCAGGGCGGCAGGGCGGTAGGTTGGTAGGTTGGTAGGTTGGTAGTAGGTTGGCAGGTTGGCAGGGGCAGGCTGGCAGGTTGGCAGGTTGGCAGGGCGGCAGGGCGGTAGGTTGGTAGGTTGGCAGGTTGGCAGGTTGGTAGGTTGGCACGCTGGCAGGTCGGCAGGTCGGTAGGTTGGCAGGTTGGCGGGTTGGCAAGCTGGCAGGTTGGCAGGTTGGCAGGTCGGCAGGTCGGCAGGTTGGCAGGTTGGCAGGTCGGCAGGTCGGCAGGTTGGCGGGTTGGCAGGTTGGCAGGTTGGCAGGTTGGCAGGTTGGCAGGTTGGTAGGTTGGCACGCTGGCACGCTGGCAGGTCGGCAGGTCGGTAGGTTGGCAGGTTGGCAGGTTGGCAGGCTGGCAGGTCGGCAGGTCGGCAGGTCAGCAGGTTGGCAGGTCGGCAGGTTGGCAGGGTGGCAGGTTGGCAGGTGGGCAGGTGGGCAGGTGGGCAGGTCGGCAGGTTGGCGGGCTGGCAGGTTGGCAGGCTGGCAGGTTGGCAGGGTGGCAGGGTCGGCAGGTTGGCAGGGTGGCAGGTTGGCAGGTTGGCAGGTTGGCAGGTTGGAAGGTTGGTAGGTTGGAAGGTTGGCAGGTTGGTCGCTTGGAAGGTTGGTAGGTTGATGGCTGCGCTATCCGGACGGCCATGACGGGGAATAGAAGGACTGCTGCTAAAAGGCAGGTTGGATCATTGAACTGCAAAGCTGCGTCTTTGTTCAAACGTGGAGATGCTCTGATTGTCCTTGTCTCCACCGGCGTGTCGCCGCACAACGCAAGTCTGCTGACACCTTCGTCATTATTGGTTCTGTTTGTTCTACGTTCGTACCTTGGATGTCCGCGAAACACGTAACTAGTCCGGTGTATCTGCTCCCAAACACAATCTTGCGCTCGATCATTCCGCATGCTGCGCGATATCTTATCAGCATGAACCTGGCTGTGTCAGGATCCGCCAAATTGAAGTGCCAAACGACAGTTTCGAATTTATCACTGTAAGTCTTGCTCCATATAGAGGCTTTCAGCATCAAATGGGCTGTGGGGCGCTATAAAACCGATTTGAGCCAGGATCCCGGGAGTAAACATGTCGGTACTCTCACTTCCTGAGCCTCTGTCTGAGTGGATCGGCCGAAAGAAAAAAATACAAAAGCAGGGTCTGAGCTGTTTGGTTGCTCCCCAAAAAGTATGAAGGTTCCAGGAACTCAGGCAGTGAGCAATTAAAATTGTTACCCTCCCTCCCACAAAGACAGCAGCTGCGGGAGTGTAACTGGATGACCAAATTTCTCTTGAAGGGACCGGACCCCTGTCAGGTGCCACGTTAGTGAGTACCCTCCCACCAATTGATATGGAACAGGGGGTCCCTACAAGACCATCTTCCTTTTGAAGGACCCTCCAATTGGTGGGTTCCATGTGAAAAGGGTGGGAGGGTCCCACTACATCCCTCTTTTTTTTGTTTTTTGAAAGTTTCCCACAAGTGCCGAGTTCACTGAACACCAACTGCTGGCAATTAAATTGCTTGTGTGGCTTCTTTGCCACCAATGACCCATTTTTGTTCTATTCCTTGCCCCAAATTTCTGGTTTAACCCCCCCCCTTCCCCCCTTCCCCCCTTCCCCCCTTCCCCCCTTCTCCCCCCCCTTCCCCCCTTCTCCCCCCCTTCCCCCCTTCTCCCCCCCCTTCCCCCTCTCCCCCCCCAACCCCCCTCTCCCCCCAACCCCCTCTCCCCCCAACCCCCCTCTCCCCCCCCAACCCCTCTCCCCCCCAACCCCCTCTCCCCCCCCCAACCCCCCCCCCGTCTCCCAAAATGCCACAAGACTTCTCTCAGCCCGGCGCTCCGGTGGATCCGGCGGCTTGCAGGCCATGCCTGGCGAGCCGCGAGGCCGGCGGCTTCCGTTGCAACCATCGCCATTTTTGGAGATTTTCCGCACCAAAAGACTATAAAAGTGGAGGAATTGTCTGGCAACCCTCGCCTTTTTTGGAGGTTCCGAACAAAAAGACTTTGAAAAGTGGAACCAGTTTCTGGCTGCCATTGAAACGATGGCCACTGTTAGAGGAAGTCCAAGGGAAATGGCTCGGAAACACTGAAACACCCTCCAGCCAATCATGGAAGCTGACGGGGGAAGGGGGGGAGTGGAAGACCACCTTCCTTTTGCGGAAGCCCCAAAACGTCAACTTCGATTGTGGGAAAGAGGGGGGGGCCTGAATTGCGGGTGAGGGGGATGACCCCATTTTTGAAGGGTCAATGGAAGCGCCGCATACAAGCACAAAATCAGCTAAGTCCTCCAATGGGGCGGGTGCTTTTCAGTGTCAGACACAATGAAGACCATGGCTCAAACAAGATATAAATCTCTGGCAGCATGACCAGATATTAACCGATACAGGACGGCCCAAAGCCGCATCTACCAACAAGAACCTAAACTGAACCCCTGGTAGTCCGCTGACAACGTCTGGGCTTGCACTTGCTTCGTATGCGTAGTCCAAATTGCCAAGCGGTCTTTCGAGGTGCTTCTGTGATCTTTACCTCGAGCTACCGGAGCTTGTCACTACGAGGCTAAGGCTCAGAGGCAAAATCTTGGCTCAGATGCCCAGTGGCTATGGGAAAAAATGGGCATCCTTGTTTTGTCGGTTGACTTTAACGGGGAACCCTTCCCAAGAAAAGGAATCAAGGGCACCACTGGGCAACTGGGTTGGGGAGGGGCGCTCTTGCTTCGAATCGAGTGATCTACGAGACGAAGAAGTCCCGCGGTTCGGACGGTGCAGTCATCTTACACGCAACCGGTCTTTGTTTGGTGGCCCATGCCCACCGGATTGAGACTAGACCGAGTCAGGAAACAAGTGACCGTGTCAGGAAACATGAGTCAAGAAATGGACAGGGGCGAGTCAAGAAACGAATGGCGGCAAGTCAAGAATGACAGTGATAAGTATTTAGATCACAACAGCAAACGTGAGTCAGGAAACGCGGAAACGAGAGAAAGGAAACGCGATTCAGAAGTGATGTGGTCAGTGCTTTTGAATTGGCGGTGATGCTGGGATGCAAGTCTGGCACTGCGTGCTTTGTGCTCTGACGCGTGCTTCGTGCATGGTTCCTTGATATCGTCATGGCTCGGATCAAGGAACAACCTGGCAAAGCTGTTCGAATCAGGGGAGAGTTTTTTGGGGAGGCATCAAAAAAAACATGCGTGATGCTGGCCGCAATGCTGGCCGGGGGATGCTGGCCGCCACTGCACGCTTTGTCCTGCTAGCCGTTTGCTTGGTACCTTGTGCCTTGTCGTCATGCCTTGATGTCGTCTTGGCCCAGGTGAAGGAAAGCTGGCGTTTTAGGGTTAGGTTTACGTTTGTAGGGTTTAGGTTTAGGGTTGTTAAGGTTAGGTTTAAAGTTTTTAGGGCTCAGGTTTAGGGTGCTCAGGGTTTAGGTCTAGGGTTCTTAAGGTTAGGTTTAGGTTTTTAGGACTTAGGGTTTAGGGTTTAGGTGCAGTTTCTCAGCGTCTACAAGGAAGCGGGGGGTTGGGGGGGAGTCGTCCCCCCTCAGTAGAAAAAATATATATATATATAACGACACTAATGGAACAATGTGCGTGATTGTAAAACAGAATCACCAAGTCGCACAACGGCGCTATAAAAAAGCGGGGGGAGGTTGGGGGGGGGAGGCGGCGCAGGCCCCCCCATTAGAAAAACAAACGTTCAAAGAAGCTTTTACATCGCGCGATTACAAAAACGAGAACCACGAAGCCGAACAACGACCCTGTTCCTGTGGTTTCCGCGTTGTTTCCTGACTCACGGTCGTTTCCTGGCTCACGAAACCTTGTTCACTTGACTCCAAACTTTTGAGAGGGCCCCGGCACGCTGTTTCTGTCGTTGCCGGGGTCGTTTGCTGACTTACGACGGTCGTTTCCTGACTCACGAAACCTTATTCAGTTGACTCCAAACCTTTCACAACGCCGCGCCGCATTGTTCCTGCCGTTTCCACCTGACTCACCAATGTTTCCTGACTCACGAAACCTTATTCACTTGACTCCAACCTTTCACAACTCCCTGACGCGTTGTTCCTGTCGTTTCCAGGGCCGATTCCTGACTCACAACACCGCATCTACCTATTTATTGACACGACCCAACCTGTTTCCTGACTTGGACCTACCCTTTTCCTGACTTCGTCGAAACCTCCTGACTCTGTTTCCTGACTCGCCCCTTACCCCCACCGGATTACCCATGCGAAACTTCGACGAGCCGGTGCATGCAGGTCTCAGAGATCCCCCACATGGATCATTGTTCTTTCGTGGTCAAAGTGGCTCCCTGAAACGCTTGCTCATACACCCCCCCCCCCCTCAGGCCCCCTCCCACTGCATTTAATAGGGCAGCCCTGTTTAGCAAAATATGGGGAAGGGGGACTGGGACCCCGACCACTACTAAGTTGCTAAGGTACTGAGGGCCTAAGGGAGTCAACATTGGCAACAATCTACAGAGTTGAACCCCTTGGGAGATTGAATAGGCTCTTGATGAGTGCACCTCAAGTGGCTCCTCTTGCTGACCGCTGGGTCTAGGTTTCGAACCCCTCCGAAAGGCAACGTGAAGCTTTCTCGTGCTCTCGAAAACCCTCGCCTGCGTCGCTTGAGCGCGCCATGTTTGAGAAGCTGCGAAGCCGAAGCAAAGTTGGGTGGCTTGGAAATAGGAATCAAACCCCCCAAAGGTGGTGTTCGCTCTGATTTTCCTTGCCTGAAATGGGTATCAAGAAAAGACAGGCCCAGTTGGTCAAGGGACATAGAAGTTAAGCTGACAAGGGACTTGTAAAGACAAGTTTGCTCCAAGGAGGACTTTCTGCTGGGTTCCACATATTTATTGGTGGGTAATAACAACATGTTTTAAACATTTAAATGTTGGTTTTGCACACTCTGGATGAACTGTGTTCCCGGTGTTATGTCAAGGCACAAGGAAACCTAGGATTGTCATCTCTTCTGGGAAAATCCGCGCGCTGCTATAACTCAGCAACCTGACTTGGGTGCCTCTCAAAATGTGTGTCCCCCAAAACTTTTGTCTCCATTTGGTTCCCCGCAATTGACCCCAAAAACTGACAGGGGTAAACACAAGTTTACCGTCATGCGCAACTTGGGGATTCAAGGCCATATTTTGCAACTCTTCACTTCGCCTACCGAAACAAGGGCTCAAACGGATGGAAATTTGCAAGGTCAACATACCCCACTGTGGTGCTTTGTTGCGCTGAATGATTGTCTTAGCTGCCCAGTGACCAAGACACAAATCAAGGCATGCTTCCAGCCTTTGCTTAAACACCAGAGACCCTGCTGAGAAAACACCGGACACCAGTGCGTGTTTTGCTGGAAGTCGGTGTCTTAGCAAGCTGCCTGGGATCAATGTTGCTCCCAGTCTGTCGTGGCACCCTCACACAGAAGCGGGTCTCCGCCTCTTTTGCACATCGGCCACTCCCGAGTCACGCCGCCGGTCAAACGACGCTCAGGTGGCGCGAATCACTTGCACCAGGTGCATCTACAGCAGTCTGGCGCCTGCCCAGTGGCATATCGGCGGATATCTTGCTAATGGCGATGCAAGAATGCAAGAAAACCTGCACCTCAGCGTGCCGGTGTATGTTTTCTTTTCTTTTTATTTTCTTTGCGAATCCCTTTGTTGGTCCATGTTGGTGTTTCTGTTTTTGTTTTTTTTGCTGCGAATCCCTCCGCTGCTCCAAAGCCCATCACTACGGCTGGCACGCACGGAAAGGCTCCCAGGCTGACACTCTCCGTCGGTACCGCCCATGCCGCGTTTAAATCGCTGCTTAGCATCGCGATGCGATGGGCCAAGGCCTTCCCGTCTCGGCTGTGGAGCACACATTGGCTCAACCGCAAAACAGGGCACCGTTTCTTGGTTGCTGTGGACCCCCCTGCAAAAAGTTGCACTTTGTGGGGGTTTAGTGGAAAACACCTTTATTTCACAAAAAGTCAAAGTCTAAAGGTCCAACCCAATAGCAGTCAAGTTGATTTTTCAAGTTGAGCGAGAGCATGGATGTCTCAATCTGTTCTGATCCCGAGTTGTAGATGGTAAAGTGGCAAATCCTAGAAGTGAGAGGTGCTTTAGCCTATTTGAGAGATGTGAGTCAGGATAGCCAGTTTCAGCAGAACTGCCTCGAAACAGGTCCAGTGGGCGGTTCCCGCAGAAGATGTGAGTGTGTCAAAAGGACACAAACGTCTATGCTAAAACATGTTCAATCGCCAAAACATACGAGAACAGGCCAAAAAAGCGTCCCGGATTTGGGACGCTCTCATAAGCCGAATGGCTGTGGGTCAAAATTAGATACCCAAAATGGAACCCTGGTAAATGGAACCAAAGAGTAACACATGCGGTCTAATTCCTGGTGGTTTAATTTTGACCCATACCCAAATCTCAGGTTTGTCTGATTTTGTTGGGTACTTGGCTAACTTCCTGCAGCTGGTTATGAAAAAAGCGTCCCGGATTTGGGACGCTCTCAAAAGCCAAGTCTAAGGTTTGTCTGGCCGAGATCAGAGCTGAACGCCCACCCAGGCGGACCACATTGGGTCCTCCTCAGAGGTCTTGTCGTTGCGCGTCACTAAGCAGCAAAGCAACGCTCCCAGGAAGAAGCTCAGCATCGATCGGAAGTCCTGTCGAGCAAACTGCTTGGAGGGTCTTATCCAAGGGGCTTGCAACTGAACGACTCAAAGTCTACTAGGTTTCAGGGCCCTTCAAACGTGCTCTTTGACTATTTTGCTTCTGCAACTAGTCCCAAAGAGGCAGAACATGCTCATCAGTGTGTTTGTATGTATATTATACATATATATATATATATATATAATATGCATACGTTACATGTATGTTTTGGTGTGACAGCCAACTGCCCTCACCTCGACCAAACACAAATTTAGGCAAAGCACCACTTACATGGTGCAACCGAAAGGTGGACGCTGGCTGGAAGCGTCCCACCGCCGGCCTGCCACATTTCGCAGGTAGTGTAGCCTTGCCCAACCTCAGCAAGTGCTAGGCCCCATTTCTCTTTGAATAGCCGGCGACCCAACCCTCCCTCTCTATGCAGAAAAGTAAAGAACAGCAAGGCCTTATCAAAGCCTCCATCCAACTTGGAGGAAACCAATTGGAAAGGCTTCAGGCAAGCGCGGAGTTGGATCCTATGCGAAGGCAGCGGTTTGGTCCAGTGGAAACCTCGCCAAGTTCTTGGAATGCGCATGCTGCTCCACATGGAGTCCTAAAACTTCAACGAGTTTCCCAAAAGACTCCTGTAGCAGCAAATATGTATTGAAGGCTCCCTGCCAATTTCCTGGAGAGAACCAACTTGGCCCAAACGGTGGACCGCCGACGCGTGAGAGCCGCCCACGCCAGCTCTCCTTTTCAAGGTTTCACGTGGTTCAACTGCTGCCTAGTCTTGTTGAGAACTGCACGCCATACAGTCAATGGTAGAGAAAACTCAGTTTCTTCAGAGGACCTGAAAGTAAAACGAAAACCTTCTGAGCCCGTTTCTGCAAGACCAACACTGGGAAACCACAATGCTCGACTGGTCGGCTTTGGACAAGTAAGAATGCCTCCTTCTCCCATAAAATAATAACAATAATCATAATAATAATAACAACCAACAACCACAACCACAACACCATTTGGGGGGTCCAAATCCCACAACAACTTTTAGGCAACCCTCGAAATCGTATCTTGGATTCCCTTTAGTTTAAATTCACACCCACATGGTCTCAAACAGACAGTGATGTCTGGCCGCATCCCGAGTGCCGGGCCGGGCAGCAATTACTGGATCGCACCATGAAACCAAAGCAGTGAAGCACGCCTCGCGAACGTCTGCGCTGCGGTTGCGTTCACGGGAAGGCATAGTCGGATTGGTGGCTTGGACATGGGCGTCCAAGCCAAAGGGGAAATACATGGATTTCCCTGGTAGATGATTGAACCACCAGGTAAGCCAAGAATCGCCATCTATTTTTTTCGACCAAAACAACCAAAAAGGACACCCATGGGCTTGGAGCTTGGGAGCGGTTCCCATTCCACAAGAATCAGGGGCTCTCTCATCCCCGGACCACCAATGCGGTAACCTGAAGGAAAAGCTCAGTTGCCGAGCTATGGAACCCAGAATAAAAAGGCGATCACCTTTTGGAAACTTGACCAAAATTGGTAACTCAAAAAAAAGGTCAGCTTTCAGCAAGTGTGACAAACAACTGCTTCAACACAACGGGAATTCACATGAAATCACCTCACCTCGGTATACAAATGTTCCTGTAACTTTCCTTTGAAGGATGCCATCACTGTGGCTCATCATCCTCTCATCCTCACGTAATGTCGACTTTGGAATAATCCGGACAACCGTACTCAGGTGTGGTTCCCCTTTTAGAAGGACATCATCTATTTTAGGGGTCCTTCTGACCAGTAGGATCCTTCGGACTCCACTACTCTCTTGCAAGCATTACGCTATCCTCGCATAATGGCGGTACGTTGCGGTAATTCTTGCATGGGTGCAGTGGCCAGAACAACATGTGATTCAAGTGGAACGGCCATGGAAAGGCATCGACAGCCTCGGTCGGTTCGTAAGTCACTGGTGCTCCAGTGACTTCCTGAGAAAAAGGTGCGCCTTAGGCCTTGCAAAACTGGGTTTACTACTCGCTCAAACGAATAGCTGCTCTGCCTTGGGGGCTGTCTTAGCGTGGGCAAGGCAACTAACGGTGGGAATAGCTTTGTCTTAGGGAAGAGATCCCGTGAAGGAATTTCATTCCTTCCGGAAATTCCGAGTCCCACAAGCTCTGTCCAGTGCCCGAGTTCTCTGTTTCGTCCTCAGGTATTTTTCTAGGCAAAGATGCACGTCTCGTCACATTCGATGTAGGCGCCGGCTTCTTTATAGAGTTGGCAAACGAGTAGTGCGGACATTTCTTGCTCGGTGCGCGTGTTCAATCAGTAGCCTGGTGATCAAACGCAAGTGGTGCTGGCAAATCTTAAGAATCTTGGAAATCAGCCGAAGCTAACCAACCAGTCATGCGTGTTTGGGCTTTGGATGTTGGTTTGAATCGGCCCATCACCATAGGCCTAGTAAGGCCCAGTTGAAAACAAGCATAGGATGGAGCAAACAGTCGGAGTCAGAACAGCAACGATGCCGCTCTGTAACAAGAGCAGCAAAACTGGGGATGGGTCCGAAGCCAAGATTTCGAGGAGAAGAAAACCTGATTTCGCGGGAAAACTGGCCCCATGATTTTACCAGAATCACCACTGAAGTGGTAAAGGGAAACAACCCCAGTGTCTGACTTTAACCCCCAAAAATAGTCAAAATCCTGGTTTCAGAAGCAACACGGTCGGCGAAGTGAGATAACGCCATGGAAACCCGACAAGGCAAAGCCCCAGCCTCTCTTTTGATGTTCCCGCCCTGTCAATTTGAGTCCATGTTTTCTTGCAGTTCCCCCCCCCCCCCTAACAAAAAAAACAGAAAGAAGAAACAAAACCGGGGTGATTAAAAACAAAAAAAAAACGACCAAAAAAAAAGGCGAGGAAACAAAAACACCGAACCGGGGCTTTACTGCAAACCAGAACACGTCTCCCGAAGCCCAGGCTCCCAGGCCAAGAGTGGCGGCAGCCAGAACCATAGCGAAGAGACAGTGCCTCAGGGAGCTGAGC